GCCCCTCGGATTCCGCCTGAGCCTCCCTGTCATCCTAACCCGGCACTCTCGACCCCGCAGCCAGAACAAATTCCTTCAGCTGCAACGGAGATGCCAAGGGTCGAGGGCAGTCTTGATCCTATGACAGTGGTGTTGTCTGGCATGGCTCAGTTGCAGAGTGTTGTTTCAGAGCTCGCCAGCCCAAAGGCGGACACAAGGCCTGAGGTCATTAAGCCGGGGGTTGTGACTTTGCCTGATCTCCCAGGACATAGTCCAGAGAGTTCTCTGGCCTTCGCGGACTGGCTTCATGCCACCAAGCCAGCCTTGGCTGATGTGTCGGACTCGTCAGAAGAACTGTGGACTCTCACCGTGAGCGAAGCTACCAAGTGGTATAATAACTACCTGAAGTTGGACCCACTAGGTAGGCTGACAGCAAGGCCCGAACCAACCCCGGAGCTAGGCCAGAATAAATGGGCAAGAGTGTCAAGGAGGATTGAGACTATGATAATTGCCTCCGCTCCTCAGGACGTTCGGGATGAGATCAGTGCTGCAAGGACCTCGGGTCTGTTTGCGCTAGTTTGCAGGCTGTTCATAGTGTACGGCCCGGGCACCCTAATGGAGCGTGAATTGGGACTAAAGCATATCTCAGACCCACCGGCTGGCACCACCGTACAGGATACTATTGACATTTTGCGTCGGTGGAGTCGTTGGTGCTCGCGCATGGTGGAGCTAGGGGGTGTTCTTCCAGATAGTGCCATTCAGGTCCGTGCTCTTACGAAAGCTACCAAGGCAGTGGTCTCTCAGAATCCGGAAATGGCATTCCGTATAAACCTGGCTAGAGCTGCACTTCAGGTTGACATGACGCCTGACGATGATAAAGTGAAGAAGCTGCATGCCCAGATGTTGAGTGAGCTAGAAGCTGTAGCTCATAGGGGTGAGAGGGATAAGGATAAGCTGAATAGGGAGCAATCTCAAGCCGCTGCAAAGGTTAAGGGTGTTGAGTCCCAGGCCACTCCAGGTCCCCCCCCTAAGCAGCCTAAGACCCCAAAGGGAAACCCTAAGTCACCTCCCGCACCCAAGGTTCCAGCCACTGAGGCAGGCGCAGGTGCAAGAGTGCCATGTAGTTTCTTTACTGGGTTCAATGGTTGCAAGAAGGGTGCGGATTGCACCTATGAGCACAACTGGGCTAGCTTTAGCCAAGCAGAGAAGGCGATCCGTTGTAAGGCGTGCGGCTCCAAGAATCACAAGCAGGTGGACTGCAAGGCTGGGATGAGGGTTGAAGAAAAGGCTAAGCCCAAGGCTCCGAAGGGGGCTAAGGCTTCGGATGCAGCTGCTAGCCGCGCCACTGCTCCGGAGCACTCCGGGCAGGATGCCAGCTCTCAGCAAATAAAAAGCATGCTGGCGGATGCCGCGAGGTTCTTGCAGCAGGCCGTACCGCCGCCACCGCCGGGCGTAGTCACTCAGGACCCGCCGCTCGCAGCCACGCCCATATCGGCCGCCCCAAACCCGACAAGCGCTAAGGCACAGTCTCCGATAGTGGGAACGCCGGTCACCTTGGCGTCTATCAGTGCTCAGTTGGAGTCCCTTAGGGCCATGACTTCGGACCCGCAGATAAGAACCGTAAGTGTGGAAGGGGAACCGGTAGCGAATATTGGTTTGAAGAATTTGGGAGGTTCCTTTGAGATTCTAGCCGAGGATCAGGACAAGTTGCGAGCCTTGGTCAAGGATTGTGAGGTAAGGATGTGTAACTCGCAGGCTGCTGTAATGGCAAGTGCGGTTGCATTACTGGACAGCGGGGCGACGCATGCAGTGATCCCGTATGATACGGGCCTTACCAACTTGGAGCCAGTCCCAGTCACATTGGCTGGGGACGCAAGGCAAGAATGGCTGAAGACCGCCGGAGGGACCTTGGTCGTCCCACCTGATCCAGGTTCGGGCCCTGATAAGAGCCCAGCACAGGTCATCCTTCCATTGGGTGCTTTGGTGGAGAGTTTGGGTTGCCAGATTACCTGGAGCAAGGGAAAGGGCCTTAGAGTAATTCACCCTGTTCTTGGAAAGTTAGACACGGGTGTATCTAGGAACACTTGTCCATATGTCCAGGAGCAGCAGGCACTTCAGCTTATATCAGAGTTGGAGGAGGTCCGACTACGGGACTTTAGGGACCAGATTCAAACTCTGGAGTGTCAGCTCGATGCCTATGCGAAGCCACCAGACCCCACTGAGGCCCTGCAGGCATTCATTAAGGCCCGGACCCGGCGTGAAGCGTTGGCTGCTTTGATAGCGCAACCGTATTTGCGGGGTGTTCCTGATGAGGTTAAGGCTTTGTTGGCAGAGGATATCCCAGAGGGCACCTTGGATGACGGCAAGGTTGTGCTAAGGGATCTACCATTGAAGAGGGCCGCTCGAAGAGAACTGTTGGCTTCAAATAAGTGGGTGGTGCACCTTTGCTCCGGTAGAAAGAAACCCGAGGATCCCATAGCTAAGTGGTGTCAAGAAAGGGGAATGCCGTTGGTACATGCAGATGTCCTAGAGAAGGGAGGAAAGGGCTGGGACTTAACCAAGGCAAGGGGAGCTTGGAGGGCACTGTTGTGGGCCGCTTCTCTTGGTAAGATCGCGGTAGTACTTTCTTCCCCCCCAAAGTATCGGGAAGGAGCTCGGGAAGTGTTGCACCTCCAGGACATGTTCCTTTGGTCTTTGGCTTCGGTGGCGAAAGGGTCAGGCATTCCGTACCTTGCTGAGCATGCAGGGTTGCCTGATCACATTGCTTCGTCCTTCAGAGATTGGTCGGGGGTCACCAAGGTCAGGCTTAGCCAAGGAGCACTAGGAGACAGGTATCTCCGGCCTACGGAAATAGACACTAATTTGGACCTCAGGTTTCTCGAAGAGCTGGGTGTGCGAGGTGAGGATCGCGCCCCTCCAAAGGGGAGAGAGTGGACACTTGGGTTTAGGGTTGAGGTTGTGAAAGCCTTATCCGGAACGCCTTCTGCACCATCCTGTGAGGAGTTGGATCGTAGAATCACTAAGGCAAGGACCCAGTGTGACAGTCCACCAAGAGTGGTTTCTTCAGGAGGGTCGATTAAGGATGATGAAGCGGAAGCCTTGTTGAGGGCCTTCGAGGCAGAGAGCGTGGTATCTTCTGATGACGAGGGAGACATGCTTGAGAATGTTGAGGGTTCCGAGGCACAGGTTCAGCGGGTAAATGATCCATCACCAGCAGAGGTTGAGCGCTGGAAGGCGCATTTGCAAAACGGCCATATACCGTACAGGCGTGACTGCAGGCAATGTATCGAAGGTGCGGGCGTAGGGGTGCAGCACCGCCGGGTGCGACATCCGCAAAGCTACGCACTCTCAGCCGACTTGTTTGGCCCAGTCCCCAGTGGGGAGCATGGCCGTGATGAAACGTGCGTGTCGGGACGGCATAATCTTAAGTATGCCCTGGTTGGAGCCTTTAGGATCCCAAGGTCTGCTGTTGAAGGTGATACGAAAGGAGTAGGGGTTGAGGATCTTTTCGAAAGTGCTGGACCTGCAGATCCCTTAGGAGACGTAGGGTCGGAGTATGCACCATCAGAGCCCCCACCAGAGGTTGTAAATGACCTAGAAGGTTTGAGTACCCCTCCAAGGTTTCCTGGAACGCGTGTTGAGCCTGAGGCTTCGCAAGAGGAGTTGCTGAGAGAACTCTTTGAGGTCCCAGATGCAGATAGCTGTGCCCGGGCTCCCTATCCGTTCAGTGTTGAAGCAGTACAGGGCACCTCTCAGGAGGAGCAGAGCATTCTCCTGGAAGGTGATCTTCCTCAGGATCCCAAGGCACTCAGGGAGCTGATCAAGGATCTAAAGGAGCCCGTAGAACAGGTTGTGTTGAGGTATGTTGTTCCTCTAAAGGGAAAGTCCGGACCTGAGGTCGCGGAAGGGATCCAGAAATTGATCCTATCCATTAATGCAAGATACCCGGTGAGGATTCTGCACACCGATTTGGGGACTGAGTTTATCTCAAGCCAATTGTCTAAGTGGTTAGCGGGTCAGAGTATTAGAATGCAGCACACCCTTCCTACCGATAAGAAGGCAAACGGTCTCGCTGAGAGGACGGTCGGCTGGGTTAAGGCGCGAATTAGGACCCTGCTTCGCTCCTCAGGACTTTCTGTGCAATGGTGGCCCCTAGCGGCACGCTGGGCGGTTCAGGCGCATAATCGCCGCATACTTAACCAGCCAGAGCTTCCAGCCTTTGGCCAGACAGTCTTGCATCGAATCAAGCAACCGGCTGATGGAGTGCGACAGTTGATGAATAGGTGGGTTGAGGCTCGGTATGCTGCTCCGCACAGCACAATACCCGATGGGCATGTGCTCATTACTGACTCGGGGAATCTAGTAGCCTCAAAGGGGTTTAGGTCCGGAGCCGTGGACCCCACAGCACTAGAGGGAGCAAGACTTCCGATTCTTCAGGATCAGAGCGGGAGCTTGGATCAGGAGGAGCTTGAGCAGCTTGAGGCCGAGAATGGTGAAGGCCCCAGTCCGCTTCCTCCCGGTGCGTCTCCTGACCGCAGACTGCGGGTTAAGACCTCTATTCGGTTTGTAGAGTGTGATGTTAGTACTGACTCAGAGACCTTTGCGCGTGAGTGCATTCTCTGGGATGACTACAGCCGTGAGTCCTTCCGAACGCTCGTGGGAATGCTGCCAGAGAAGCTTTTCCACTCCAAGGACCGAAGAGGCCAGTTAGAGGATAAGTTGGTACTAGGCACTTACTGCCATGGGGGCCAGAGGGGGTTGACGAAGTCTACGGGTCTCCTCCCCCTCACCACAAAATTCCTCAATCGCTGCCTGTACCTGTGGATAAGCCAAGGGGTTCAGGTTGATAATCCTTCGTGGACGGCGTTGATGATAGCTAAGGCTGGTGATCTCGCCGTGCATCGGGACTTTCGAAATGAGTGGGGATCGCTGAATCATGCAATGTGCATTCCTGGGGACTTGGAGTTGTGGAAGGCCCCAGAGGACGATGTTAAATGCATGCATCCAAATTGGTCGAGTAGACAGGTCCAAAGCCTAAGGGAGGGAGTAGTAACGTTTGACGCAAGGAGACCCCATGCAGTGAGGAAGGGTTCTGATTGGATCATAGTGGGTTATACACCGTTGGGATCTTCCAAGTTGACAGATGACGACTGGAATGAGCTGCAGCGTTTGGAGTTTCTCACTCCACCGCGAAGTACGGAAGCCCCACAGATTAGGGTAGTTTCGTCCGGATCAGGAGATCCAATGCCAACTGAGGATGAACCTCAGGATGCAGACTCTCCTCACCGAGAGCAAGGGCCCTTGGAGGATGACGTACAACCAGATTCTAATACCCAGCTGGTAGGATGGGATTTTAGTAATGGAGACCCAGGCGAGTTTCCACGACCGGATCTGCAGAGAACCGACTTGTATGTGTTCCTCCGTGAAAGGTTTGCCGAGCATGAGTGGAAACGCCTGAATTTCATGGGTGTGACTGAACCAGAAGATCTGGCATACTTATTTGAGGAAGATTTGATTGAGATAGGAATTTCTCCGTTGACAGCCTCTCGTGTTATGCATGGAGTGCATCCTCCAGGAACTAGGAGGCCAGACTGCCCAGCTTTGTCAGGCCTAAAAACCGGGGAGGTGAGGCTTTACGATAGGTCACAACGCCAGATACCTTGGGTGATTCAGAATCGCACCCTTAGGCAGGGTAACCCACAACCTCCCATTGAGGGATTAGGGATACGGGTCCCAGGGGTTCAGGAGGAGCAAGGTCATCCACGCGTAGATCCGTTGCGAGTTCCTGAGGAGACACCCCAAGCAGATCCAACGGAATCACCCATGTCTCAGGTGCCGCAGACAGCGGCTAGCTCATCGCATGAGCCCCTTCGGAGGCCACATCAGTCGGAGTTGTATGAAGAGGACCAGTTGGAGATGATGTACTTGCAATCCATGTGGGAGGCGGAAGGAGATACTCCCGTAGACAGTTGGCCGTTAGCAGCCTCCAGCACTGACTGCACAGGCTTAGGTATGCAAGGTGTTCAAGGTGATAGCCAGACCGCAGAGGCATTAGTAGAGAGTGAAATAGATAATTTAAATGTTCCGGAGGAGACTCAAGCAGATCCGACGGAATCACCCACATCTCAGGTCGTAAATAAATATGAGTGTAGGGCGCTGAGGTGTGGTGGGTCTCAAGATGAGTCGTATAATGCACAGGCCATAGGTCCAAGAGGCGAACGTCGTGTTCTTCCAGATAGTGCCCAGGTCACTGGACAGAGTGCGATAGCAGTGAGAATCGGTGTCCCAACGGGTGACCCGCTGAGTTCAATGCACGGTGCTCCCCAGGTGGCGAGCCAACCACGTGTGAGGCGTGTAGATGAGGCAATGTTTACCCCTGACGTCGAAGGCCTACTCGAGAAGCTGGATGGACCACTTGAGGTCGTGCATAATGTGGCCCCTGCGGAGGTGAGAAGTCATCTAGAGAAGTGGCGACAAGCAGCAACCACTGAGGTGCAGTCTTTGGAGACAATGGGGGCTATACGGAGGCTTAGAGGCCAAGAGGCCCGAGGAGTACTCCGGAGTGGGGATGTTGAGATCATTCCAGCAAAGGCTGTCTGTACGGTCAAGCCGGGCTCTCCCTTTAAGCGAAAGGTGCGCGTGGTTTCGTGCGGGAATTTTGCATCTACCACAGAAGAAACGTTACTTTATGCGGGTGGAGCTGGAGCCGAGACACTGAGAGCCTTGCTGGTGCACAATGGCAGAAGGGGTCGAAGGTGCCATAGTTTGGACGTGAAGTCTGCGTTTCTACTGGCGCCCATACCGGCGTACGTAAAGAAGAGGTATGCAGTACGGCCCCCGAAGCTGTTGACGGAGCTAGGCATCTGCGCTGCTGATGAGATCTGGATGATTGAACGAGCTCTCTACGGCTTTCGAGAATCGCCGCGCTGGTGGTCCGTGCATCGAGACAGCGTACTATCCACCGCAACGTGGAACACCGAGCGAGGGGCCTTGCGGTTGAGACAACTGGCAAGCGATTCAAACGTTTGGTCGATAGAACTGGAGTCGGGAGAATGTATGGGACACCTCCTGATTTACGTGGACGATATGCTGATAATGGCAGATGACTGCATTGCTGCATCGTTCTTTGAGTGGATAAGGGGTCGGTGGGATTGCACTGACCTTGAGACAGCAAGCTGTGATAAACCTTTGAGGTTTCTGGGAGTCGATATCTACGAGGAGAGAGACGAGCACGGCACCATAGGGTTTAGCCTAGGTCAAGAGGGCTATATTGACGAATTAGCTCGAAGCCACAGTTTGAAGATAAATCCACGTGCCACAACGCCTCTTCCTAAGGAGTGGGTGCGCGATGCTCCTCCCTCTGAGGATTATTCTCCTGAGCAGCTCCGTGAGGGGCAAAGAATTACCGGTGAATTGCTTTGGGTGGCACAGCGGACGAGGTTGGATGTGGCATATAGTGTAGGGCTAATGGCCAGTCTAGTTGCCCGATCCCCACAGTACGTCGTGAAGCTAGGCACACGGGTATTGGAATACCTGTGTAACACGAAGGCTCATCGCCTCACTCTGGTTCCAGGCAAGGCAGATGGGATAAGGATTTACACAGACGCATCGTTTGCGCCTCATGGAGAGCACTCCATCACAGGTGCCGTCTTGCAGTATGATGAATGCTGTGTCGTGTGGAAGTCTAAGCGGCAAAGCCTTGTGACGCTCAGCACGGCAGAGTCGGAGCTAGTGGCAGCTTGTGAGGGAACAGTACTAGGACAATCCCTGGAAGCACTAATTCAAGAGCTAGAGGGTAGTCCCCAAAGCAAACACCTTTTGGTAGATAATATTGCTGCAGTTATCCTCGCTGAAGGAGGAGGGAGTCAAAGAACGCGCCACCTAAGGGTAAGAGCGGGGTTCATAAAGGACATGCAGTCCAGGGGTGAAGCTACGGTCAGCCATTGCCCGGGAGACCTACAACTCGCAGATGCTCTCACTAAGGCATTGCCGAAGGCCAGACATGAGTTTCTGGCTAAGCTTCTGGGTCTAGGCCCCCCGGGTATGGTTGTAGGACGCCCACCAGCCACTGTAGTAACTGCCGAGGTTAGCCAAATTACGCCCACCGAGGACGGCGGGACCCAGGGTCTGGCAGGTGATATACCCTCGGTAGAGGCTAGAGCTGCAGTGCAGAGGGGGATTGGTCTTTGGTTGTTTGCCTTAGCCCTTTATTCTCAGTTGGAGCTTGGTGATGCAGCTGAAGTAGATGAGGAAGGTGCAGGTGAACCAGTGAGCTTAGAGCTGTCAATGGTGTTGATGTTGTTAGTAATGTCAGTTTTGTTTATTTGGGAGTCGGCAAAGCATTGCGCAACCCATTGCTGCCCTCGCCGGAGGGATGAGGAGTGCCGGGTGCGTATGATGAATGCCGATCCAGATGATGTCCAAGAAGCTAGTAATCGAAGGGGTAGAAGGCAAGAGGCGGTTCGTAGGGCCATAGCCCGGGAGCTACCAGATGAGGGGTTAAGGTGCAGAGGTTCTACAGGTGCAGAGCAGGGACAGACAGGCATGCATTCATACGTGCACGTGCAAGTAGACTCAGGTCGAAGCCCGGTACATGTGAGTTCCAGCCTGCCTCAGGCCCATGTAGAGCCGCCGAAGAGTACTCCGGTACCGCCCCCTGTTCCTCCTGGATTTCCATCCTCGCAGTCTTCCACCTCTCCGGGGGAAGTTGTTATCCCTCCACCTGATGTTGCCTGGATTTCAAGCGAAGCCCAGACTCTCAGAGCTCCTCCCAATTCCACTTCGAGCGACGTTAAGGGGTTGGGAAGGGTCATGAGGGATGCATCTACGCAAACCACCGGCGAAAGGGGGTTTGAATTTTCTGAATTGTGTGAGCTCCATGTACTCACCACGTCAAGTAGAACACCAGGAGCATTACACCTCTTCCCTACTTGTCATGCCTTGCGTAATACCGTTAGTCCTCAAGAGAGAATGTTCTGCCGTTACTGTTTGCAAGGCATTCGAGAGGGAAGACGTAGGGGCTAGCGTCTTTCCGTCCCAAAGGGACGATGCAGACGAGGAGGAGTGTTGAAGCCCATGTGGCCGATGCTCCTGTAGCCCTGAAGGCTTGAAGCGGTGGAGCAGAGCTCCATGTGAACAGCAATTGCATGAGATGCAGTGCCAAGCAGACAGACGCTAGTCCCGAGGACAGGTCATGTTGTTGCGCGTGAAAACAATTCGAAGCTTGTAGTAAGCCCATGGTCGTTGCCCTCCCGCTGGTCTGTATCTACAGCTGGCAGTAAGAACAAGAAGATCTATGGCGTCAAGCGAGCAGAACCCAAATGCTCATGATCTACCTGATGACCGAGCTCATGAGTATCAACAAACCTGTATAGTAGCCCTTAAAAAATCCTTTATAGAGTTCTGCAAAAAAAACAACGTTATTCTAGCCGTAGAATGGCTGTGAAGCAACGTCATCTAATTACATCGTGGCGACCCAGAAGCCATGTCAAGCCTTGGCCCCACACCCCGTAATCCGAACCCTAAACCCAAAAAACCCTAAACCCAAAACCCCAAACCCTTAAACCGTAGAACCTCTTACTTACACTCTATGCCGTAAGCCCCCATAGGCCTTAAACCTGAATCTTGGCGTGACCCCAACAAGTTCGTACTCTCGGTGTAGGGTTTAGGGTTTATCGGGTTTAGGGTTTAGGGCCAGACCCCTACAGTACAAAGCCTAAACCCTCAATCCCGGAAGCCAATGAAGCCCCTAAACCCTAAAGCCTAAACCCTGGCCCTAAACCCTACACTACAAGCCCTATACCCTGAACCCTAACCCTACACTGCACACCCTAAACATTACAAACCCTAAACCTTTACACTAAAACCAACTAAACCCCACATTACAAGCCCTAAACCCTGGACCCCTAAACCCTATCCCGGAAGCCAATGGGAACTACTGTTGATGGACACAATTCTGCATGACCCAAATATAGTATAGTACCATAAATCCCATAGTTTAGGTATATAAGGTCATGCAGGATTTTGTCCATCAGCCGTAGGTTCCTGAGTAGTACCGTTTTGCCTTGTTTTTGCATGGTTCCCCTATTGAAACTGAATAACAGAAAAAAGGGTAACCTTATTATTAGTCTTCCTATTATTCTTATTATTAGTATTGTTATTATTACTATTACTATTACTTTTACGCTTATTGTTATTATTATTATTATTCTTATTCCTCTTCTTCTTCTTCTTATTATTATACTTTTTTTAAAGGGGTCACGCAGGGACCTAGGACAGCATGAGGTCTGGAGCCTGGTGAAGGCAGCAGGGGCCGCGCCGTCGCGCCCCTGGCTTTTGGGCTTCTGCAAGATCAAGTAGGGCCCTAAAACCTAAACCCTAAGGGACGGTTTAGGGTTTAGGGTTTAGGGTTCTTATTGTAGACCCTAATATGGGATCCCTGGCTTTTGGGGCTTCTGCAAGATCAAGTAGGGCCCTGAAGGCGTAAAGCTCTAAGGGCTGTTTTAGGCCATCAAAGTAGGGCCCTGAAAGCCTAAAGCCCTAAAGCCCTAAATCCGAAAAGGCTTTGGGTTTAGGGTTTAGGGTTTAGGGCCAAGCCCTAAAACCTGAACCCTGAGGGCTGTTTTTAGGCCATCGAATTCCATCTAATTTTGTGGCTTCTACACAGCTCCTCTGCAAGGGCTCTTTAGGGGTTCAAGGTCAGGGCTACCGACGCCAAAGGGGTCTCCGGAAGGGAGTAGGATTGTAGTCACTGTAGAATTTCTACTTGTTCCGGGCAAGGAGCCCAATGAGTGACTCGCAACAAACTTTAAGTGCACCTCTTTCCCTGGCGCAATACCACGTGAAGACAGGCTTTTGTTGCGAGTCTTCCCCGTAATCCCACCCAAAACATACACTCTCTCACATTCACCCTAAACCCTAAACACCCACCGAAGTCCGTCAGTTAAGCCCAAAACCCAAAACCCTCATCTCTTCTCAACCCTACACGGCTTGTAGGGTCCCCCTAGCCCTTAACCCGAAGACATAAACCGGGTTCTTGTTAAGGGATTTGGTTTAAGTTGCCATCATAGTAGGGATCTGCAGTAATTATATAATCTGGTTCAAATCCGTTAATTAACACGAACGCAGCAAACCCTGAACCCTAAACCCTAAACCCCGAAACGCGAAACCCTTAACCCCCTAAACCCCGAAACCCTAAACCCTAAACCCTAAACCCCGAAACGCGAAACCCTAAACCCCCTAAACCCCGAAACCCTAAACCCTAAACCCCGAAGCGCGAAATCCGCAATTTTACCAGGTCCTCCCTTTGTCGCGCAGCCGCAGCCCTCGCTGGATGCCTCGGTGAGCGATGTAAGGACGGGCGCGAGGGGGGTTTCGAAGCTAGGATTTAGGGTTGAGGGTTTTGGGGTTTAGGGTTTAGGGTTGAGGGTTTGGGGGTTTAGGGTTTAGGGTTTACGGTAGTATATGAACCTGATTAAGAAATCCTGGGTCTTTAACCCTAAACCCTATAAACCCTAAACCCCATAAACCCTAAACCCTAAACCCTTATAACTGAGGGTTCTTAACATACATCTTCATCTTGTGGAGTTCTGGGGCCAGGGTGTCTTAATCAGGTTCCTACATTATCAGCCCTAAACTCTAAACCTTTAAATCCTAAACCCTAAACCCCCAAACGCCTAAACCCTTAAACCCTAAAGCCCTAAACCCTTAAACCCTAATCCCCAAAGTCCCTAAACCCTAAACCCCAAAACCTAAACCCAAAACAAACAAAACCTAAACCCAGAAGGTTCCTACATTGTCGGGGTGGGGCCGGAGAAGATGTGGGAAGTTGTCTGGTTCCGGTCCTTGTTCAGGTCGCAACAAATGGGTACTTGGAGGATCATGGGACGTAGCAAGTAAAGTTATAGGTACCCTAATTGGGCTTACAATTATAGCTACCTGATTTATAACCCTAGTTACTAAGTCCCATGATTCTCCAAGTAGTTCGCTAAATCAGGGTCGTTCTTGAGGCACTTGGTATAAGGGTGCCGCCTTCTTTTGGGTTCCCAAAACCCTAAACCCTAAACCCTAAACCCTAAACCCTAAACCCAAAAAGGGGCCCCAAATAGTACGGCACCATCAGACCAGGGCCCTCAAAGGTATCGAAGTTTAGAGTCTAGGGTTTAGGGTTTAGGGTTTAGGGTTTAGGGTTTAGGGTTTAGAGATCACCCCCTCTGCGGGTTTCCAGAATTTGAGATCCCTCCCGAAGCAGCACCCCTTGGATCGGTATGGGTTTGAGGGGTTTAGGGCTTCAGGGCTTTAGGGTTTTAGGGTTTAGGGTTTAGGGTTGAGGGTGTTTAGCTTGACGTGTCTCTCAGTCCTCCTCCCAGCCGGATGCCCTCCACCGTTGACGGATCAGAAGAGGGGCCTCACTGGTTACCTTGAACCCTAAACCCTAAACCCTAAACCCTAAACCCTAAACCTTCAGTGTACCTTGACGGGGACTTATCAGGGTCCATAAAGAGCTTCTGGATCTATTCTCAGGGCTTAAATAAGCAGAAGAGGGTTTTGGGTAAATATCGGATTCTACTTGTAGGTGGATGGAGGGAATCTTGCATCACCTACATATTCTGATTCGGGTGCGCCACCAAGGAACGACCGCGCACGGGCAGTGCAAGATTGATGTCATTGGAATGAGTTTGCAAAGGCCCGTGTTCCGAGCAATGTTAACAAGGGGTCTCGGGGTCAAGTTAGTTGACAGACAAGCAGTGCAAGATTTCCTCCGTTCTCAGTCGTACCTATTCTTCAAGCGCCTTTAAGCCCGTATGAAACCATACAACACAATTTGTGAACCCTGTACTTCATCCGTCATCCAGAACTCTTTCAGCACCCTCATAAACCCTTATCGAAACGATGTGAAGACTCTGTAATCTAACGCTCACAACAGAGCGTATACACACAACCCAGCAAACCCTTTTTCACCTCTGTAAATCCTTTGGCACATGATCAAGACCCCTGTAGACCACGTGTAAAACTGAGCCCTACACTCTAAACCTCAAACCCTAAACAACCCTAAACCCCAAACCAGCCCCTACACCCTAAACGACCCTAAACCCTAAACCAGCCCCTAAACGCTAAACAACCCTAAACCCTAAAACGAGCCCCTAAACCCCCATAAAAGCCAAAACCCTCCTAAAACTCTGCAGGACATCCTCTCGGTTCTTCTGGTTTCAAATTGGCTCGCCGCAGCCACGGCGCCGAGAGACAGAGAGTCTA